ACCTCTGCCTCCCTGCGTCTTTTTGAGAGCTGGAAATAAAAGAAACACTGTTCTGAGGCTACAAAGCAGATGGATTAGTTAAGGATAACAAAAATGTTATAGAGGTTTCTTATATCCAAAAATACAGCCTAGTAAACTCAGAATTTGATGACAGCATTTACTTATTCAATACTTTTAGCAGCAGCTTTCAGAAACCAAAAGGTAAATTGTTGCAAATTGTATTTTATAATGATGTTCAATTCCAGATCCAACTCTAAAAGAATGAAAGCCTGGTGAAAAAACTGGACGATTTAAAAAATCCTTTCATTTTTATAAAATGTATATTAAATAAGACTGAGGATTTAAAATATCAAAATCCTGAAAAGTTTAACTCAAAGCGTCAGAGATCAATTTTAACCTTTAAAGTCAGACTTTATCCTCATATTCAAAGAAACTATCTATCCTTTCTCTTAATTAATCTTTCTACTCAACCATCCTTTTGCTATTCATTTTTTAATCCATGGATTTAATTTTAAGTTCATTGTACTAATTCAAAAAGGCTTTTTTTTTCATTTTTGTAGACTAAGAATATAAATAAATGCTTCCTAATCACACAGCATTGCTAATTATGCCTATCTTAGTCAAAGCATTTGCATGTTTCGCATGCCTGTAACCAAATGAATAACCAAATAATCTCAAAATAATCTGATACAGGCCCAGCTTTGTTGACACACTTTACAGACAGATGCAAATAGACTGTCAGATAAAACCGCCACTAATCAGAAAGAAAGTGAACATAAGAAGCTCTGTGGCTGTTATCATTAAACTGTTCCACTTTAATTCAAATAACGGGAGTTTAAAAATAATAAATTTTGAGTTTCAGTCTTTATGTCTTTTTCTCTATCTAAATGCCTTTTTAAACACAAAAGCCTAATACACGCCTCATTTCTCCCCCTCAGGCTTAATTTTTTTTATTTCTATTAGAATTAGGTGTGCTACAAAATGAGCCACAAACAAACAAGTTGGTATAAATTAAGGTGTGAGCGCAAGTTGGGGAATCAGACAGCAGCAAACTGGCCATCAAACACTTTGTGTGTGTCCAAACATGTAATGCTTTCATAAATCAACAGGGTTGTACAGAAGCACAGAGATGGAGAGCTAGGAGACCCTTGGGAGCGAGGGTGACTTACAAAGCAGGCTATGTGACACAGGAAGAAGCAGAGGGGCAGGGGGCCTGATGGAGGGTGGAGTGAAGGAATGGCTGAACACAAAGAAAACAGAACAGAATGGACACAGCAAGACACAGCTGAGGGACCGAGTCCTGAAACGTGACTGTAGTAAAGAGGATTTAGTCTGGGAGAGAGAGACAAAGCAACTGGGCAGTGATGCAATCACTGAACTTATAGCAAGAACTGGATTGATTACCATGATTATTGCCCAATAAAAAAGGCTGATTCACACTTTTTTAAAATATGAAAGTAACACTTTTATAAATTAAACTGCTTAATTAAAAATCTTTTGACTCGTCATTTTGAGGAAATGTGCATTTAAATCCTTACTGTAAGTCAGGAAAACTTATTGTTATCTGACAAGTGAACTCCTAATTAGTGGAATTTGAAAGGTTCAATGACTTATGAAGTCAAAGGCTTACATTTCTGACCGATGAGGCAGAGATTTTGGATTTCAGATGCAGGATGTTTTCTGTTTGGCTGTTTTCCCAGCTGTTGTCGGTCATCTTCTCCAGCAGAAATGCACAAAAAAGGACATGCTTGGGTTGCAGGGGAGGACTGGGCAGGATATTTGGTTTCCCAGCAGAGTATTCACATTCAGTGCGACTGAGTCAGTGGCCGTCAGAGTCGACCTCACCCAGCAGACAGAGGCCTGTAAAAATGCCTCTCAGCTTGAGTCACGATGCTGAACAGAAGCTGTAGCCTCTTGGCTCGTCTTCCTACAGCAGTCTGCCGGCCGGCTATGACGTCGGCCAGACAGGGGAAGCTGTGGTGAGTCTTCAAGGAAACACAGTTCATATGACTCCGTAACTGAGCCATCCAAAGGAATTTCCTCAGGCTTTCACATCCTTTATATGAAGCAGCTCAAGTGTAATTATGTCTATAATCTCTTCACTCCAATGAGAGGCATGCTTTGTCCAAATCCATCTATGCAGAAATCAACTCAGCAAACCCTTCTGTCATCCTCCTTTTTCTTCCTATTTTTATTCTTAGCTACAAGCAAACATTTTAATACTTTTTTATTTGTTAAAATTGCAAGTCTTCCTTGTGCTCTTTCAAAGTAGTTATCAGTAGCTTTTAGGGTTTGCAGGATTTCATAATAGGGTATTAGGCCAAATTTAGCCAAAGAAAGTTGGCAGATAGCCTGCATGTGTATCTATGCCATGAAGTACAGTAAGCAGAGCAACAAACTGTGTTCTGCTGAATCAATAAAAGAATCTTTAATTCAAACATCCAAGCTCAGCTTATCTCTAACATTATCATATTCACTGAGTAATCCTTCCTGGTTTGTTAACATCAGTCACCTGCAATGTCTTCACCAAAACTCAGTTAAAAGAAAAAGCTGCTGTGACATTACATAAATAAATACAAGAAGTTACTGCTTCAGCCGCCCAATTTTAGAACATGGAGGTTTCTATAACATAAAGACACTGGAAAAAAATTCTAATTTAAATCAAAAGAGCTGACAAAAAAAAATTATCCTTTTTTTTTATTTGGTGGAAAACTCAACCAAGTTCAACCCACTCAAGATTGTGTTGTTATCAGCCAATAAACATGTCAGAATTCCAAGGCTTCAAACTGACAAAATGATCCATCATATCGTTCCTACGGCTCATTTAAAGTGGATACAAAAAAGTTGTGTAAGTTCTGTCTCATGAGTCAGTACACAGTTAACAAAAACAATAAAAAAAAGTTGCTGCTCATTGCTATTCAGCTGGCTGAAAAAAGCTTTAAATTAGGGCATTTGCAGAAACTCCTGGTGAGGAACAACATGGGCACACATTGAGTGTATAATAAAGCAGGTTATCCATCACTTATTGAGGTAATGCGGTTTTAAACTTGCAGTTGGCAAGCTGCAAGCGACATGTGTGTTAATGAGCTGGAGACTCAAGCAGATTATTGAACCTGCTAGTACCAGCCAATGGGACTCACTCCATGTGTTACTCTTTAGTCAGCAAAGGGTACCATGTGTTGTTTGACATATGCTTGAAATCTACAGCTAAATTTAGCAGGTATGGCCTCTACATGTTGCATTAGTTTACAGCTAAGAATTTTAATATGATAATCTATTTATGGCATTATTATAAATCAAAAGATATGTTAGTAAAATGCTGTTAAAATAAGAAGGCTATTAACAATATATTAACCCCATGCATGTGAAGACATTTCAGAGATAGAGAGGTCATTTAGCGACAAACTATTGCACATCCACAGATCCTTCCTTCCATTTGATGTCGTGTTTACAAACATGCTGCTGGTTGCACAGCTTCTTGATTGGATCAAGAATTAATCAATCAAATCACTAAACAATTTCTGACCCCCTAATAAATGTTCTCAGGTGTTAAAAAATACAAATGTTAATGACAACAGAAGTTAAGAGAATATCAGCAGAGTTTCTTACCTGCTCTGTAAAGGTTTGTTTCTACTATCTTTTTGTCATCTTGCAGTTTTTTTTATTTCCCTTTTCTTTTTTTTCTTTTTAACCTAAAGGTTTCTAGTTTATTAGATAAATATGTATTTATTCATAACTGCACAGCATTTTTTTTCCTTACTAAGAGGTATTTTCTTTCTCTTCTGCTTTACAGCTGATCTTTTAAAGTGTTGTTCTTCACATAATTTTCTGTTGTGACGTGTCTGATGTTTACTTTTTTGTAAACTGGGCTAAACTTTCCCACTGTGGGACAATAAAGGTATTTTTCATCTCATCCTAATTTTCTTTTACCCACCCAAATCATCCTGGGCTCAATGTGTAAAATCAAAATAGAATTTGCATCAATTAGTCTTATGAAAAATCGCCTATTGGTGCCAAAACAGTTTATCTGTCTTTCATATTCTAAATCTTTTATTATTATTTTGTTTACAGATTGAACTAATGCAAAAAGAAAAAAACAATGTCTTTGTGACTGGCTGCTGGTATGTTGTAGAATCAATTTAATTTTCACAGTCTTCCTTTATAAACACAGGGTCATGCAACTTTTTTCTGCAGAACTAGTAGCTTAAAGACAAATTGATTTAACACACAACAAATATCCTGCGGAACATGTTCATGAACTAGGATGAGATAACTTAAGAGTTCCTAAAAAAGAAACAGGATCATCTGAGGAAAATCACTAAAAGACTTTTGATGTACGGTAAGACTTTCAGAATGCATAATGTAATTCTGTTCTAGTACCTTTTCAAGATAATGTGCTCAAAAATAACCTTACAGACAAAAGTGATACAAAGCTAATTGGAAAAACATTTTTAATATAATGATTTATTTATGTGTTTTAAGATTTACTTTTTTGTATATATACACTTGTTATTACCTAATAAACTAAAATAGGCCATTTAGAAGCATCTTTATTAGCAATGTTAATATATTATTATTGTTCTTTTAGTAAGAAATGATAGTAAATACTTGAGATGTGAATGACTTAAACTTCAAACTAAAGGCAGGTGATTGACTTGTTTAGATGAACAGATTGACCATCTTGAACCAACCAGTGATCCTTTCTCAGCTTAGCTGAAAGTAGGTGTTGTGACTTCCAGATGGGATCAAAAGGTCAAAAAGCAGCCTGGCCTGACCCAGAGATGAAGCTGCTGCTGTAGCTATGGCTGAGTTCATTCAGGGACAAATGAGGATCATGAGAGGAGTTGCAGATGTGGGCCAGATGTGTGTTGGTCAGAGGGCTGCGAGCCTCATTCAAACAGGAACAATATATGAATTGTTATTATTAACCCCTGCAGTGAAGAAACTATAAGTCTGCCTATTATACACATAAACATCAAGCGATGGATGACTTTACTCACTTTCTCTTATACTCGTCTCTCTCTCGCTTTACTTTGGCCAGCACGTTGTACAGAGCCCTCAGTTCAGGGGTGATGGTGTCGATCTGGACTCCGACTCCGTCCGGGTGCGTCCACGTCACTCCGGGCCCCTGCAGGGTCTCGAAGCGCTCCCCTTGCCTCCGGATGTGGGTGAAACTCCAGATGGTCCCCGGCAGCCTGGACTCGGGTCCGTCAGTCTGCACGGCGACCTCCCGGCCAAAGGGATGCCTGCAGAGCGGCCGCTGCAGGGCGCGCCGCAGCTGGCTCTCCAGCAGCTTGTTCCTGCGCTCCAACTCGTGGACTTTGGCGAGGAAGCAGCGGAAGCGCAGGTTGAGGGTTTTCAGCACATGGATGTTGGAGCCCAGGTCGTTCCGCAGGGCGCTGGTCACCGGACCGGGCGGAGGTTCGCAAAAAAACAGCGAGCTCATGATGAACAACAAAAATAAATTAAATAGCTTGTTATGGATTAACGCCGACAAAGTAACCTGTTGTTAGTTATGTTTGCATCTTCCTTCTAATCTCCGCTCCCACTGGACAATTTCTCCTCAGAATGCAGAAGATGGGGGGACCATCACTGACTCTAACATGGGCCCCTGCAGCAAATAACCCCAAAAAGTCCTTTAAGAGGCACTGATGGCTTCATCTCCTGACGGACCCGGAGGTTTGACGCAGACCGAAATAATAGGAAGCTTCAATCCCCGTCTGCCTCATCTTTCCTGCCTCCTTCTTTGTCCAGATCTGCTGATGCTGCTAGCAGACTGAGGAGGTTGGCTTTCTGTCTTTCTCATCCCCCGCTTCACCGCGGCTCTATCCAGTCACCATGCGGGGCGGTGGGGCAGGATGCAGCGCCGCAGAGCCCGGCCTCTCCGTGGATCATGTTGCAAAGTGCTAAACTCGGCACTATCACCTTATCGGCCCCTCCCACGTCCCTCCCCACGCCTCTCCCTCTGTATGGGGCACCGTTTGCAAAGTTGCACCGTCAAAAATGGAGAGCAACATTGGTGGTTATTTATTATCTGAGATTAAAGTCAGAATTCTGAGAAAAAAAGTCAGAATTCTGAGAAAAAAGTCAGAATTCTGAGGAAAAAAGTCAGAATTCTGAGAAAAAAAGTCAGAATTCTGAGATTAAAGTCAGAATCCTGAGAAAAAAAGTCAGAAATCTGATTAGAGAAAAAGTCAGAATTCTGAGATTAAAGTCAGAATCCTGAAAAAAAGTCAGAATTCTGAGATTAAAGTCAGAAATCTGATTTAAAAAAAAGTCAGAATTCTGAGAAAAAAATTCAGAATTATGAGATTAAAGTTAGAATTCTGAGATTAATGTAGAAATTCTGACTTTTTCCGCTATATTAAACTGAAATAAAATAAAAAAATCTGTTAACTTTTTTTTTCCAGTGGCCCTAATCCTCTTCCGTAAAAAGAGGTTAGTTTTGCAAAGTCAGATTATTACTCATACATTTATAAATATCACATTCCAAAATAAGTATTTAAATTGACAGCTAATATATATTTTAGCAAGCTAAATATTTCTGTTTCCAAATTAAATATTTAGGGGCACAGTTTATAGCACTGTCCTTGCCTGGGGTCTTTCTGCATGGAGTTTGCATGTTCTCCCCATGCATGCGTGAGTTCTCTCCGGGTACCCCGGCTTCCTCCCACAATCCAAAAATATGCCTGTTAGGTTGATTGGCATCTCTACATTGTCCTTAGGTGTGAGTGTGTGCATGGCTGTATGTCTTTCTATGCCTCTATGTTGCCCTTCCACACCTGTCCAGGCAACCTGTCCAGGGTGTATCCCACCTTATGCCCATAGACTGCTGGAGACTGTACTGCAACCCTGATGGAATAAACTGGAGGTGATGGATGGATCAAAAGATATTTAGCAGGCAATCTGTATTTATTTTAGAACTTTCATATTTAAACATATGAATGACATAATGGAAACTTGACTTGGAAAAACTAACCCCATTTATTTCTCTTACAACACCCTAAATAACCAAAGATATTGCTCTTAATTTTGGATTGGTTATTGCACAGGGTGTTTACATGGGCATTTATATACATGGATAT